TGTTGACAAGCGAGCTAATTAGCGAGCCATAGAATTGTTCTTGGTGTAGCTAATTCGTGACTGGACTTACCCGGGAATGCCGCCAGATTCCATGTGATTTGCAATGATAACGTCATTTGACCAGACATCAAAATGCCATTTCTTGTTGCCCAGCACGCCGCACATCACGGATCCGCTGTGGATGCCGATGCGCATGTTGAGGTCGACCTGCAAAATTAACGAACGCAAAATACGCAAATTATGCAAAGCACGAATTTAACTGCAACTGCAACTGCAACTGCAGCTGAAACTGCAACTGCAAAGGCCGCATGTTTTTTTTGGGTCGCTGCAGTCGTCAGTACGTCTGTTGGACTGACAATGCGTCGGCCAATTGTCGTTACTCCACGGCAAGTTTTGCATTCATTAAATGCGCTTAAGGGCCCCACAGGCCGAAGAGAAGCTGAGCTTTTGCTCGAATCACAAAAATATCTATTAAGTTTTTGTTGCAGTTGGGTCATGAGAATGTAGAACTCTTTTCTTGCGGTTGTTTTTTTTTACCCTGTAACGCCAGCAGATCTTTAAAAGGGGGCTCATACTTTTGGATTACAAAAAACCCCACGGATACAATATCTACTCAATTTTATTTGCATCAATATGCAACTCTGTTTTTATAATTTTATTTAAATGCCAAATATGATTACTGTCTTTTTTTACAGGGTATCTGCGTTTCAGCAAACCAAGCACGAGCATATGTTATTGCTGCTGCTGCTGTTGCTTTCGCTGTCATTGGCCGTTTTCGGCTGCCTTTTGCTCTGCTGAGATTTGCATACAAATGAATTGTCAACACGTCCAGCAACGTCCAGCGACCAGGCAGTACACGGACGGGGCCACATAAAACGACGCTGCAGCCATAGCAAAAACAATGTGCAAAATTTGTAAAAAAAACACGCCAAAATGGCTGACGGCTGAAAAATCTGTGGCATTAAATTCAAAAAAAAAAATGTGCCACTCCGCAAACGCTTAAAAGTTTTCAGCAGTTTAACTGTTGACTGTCGCTAACAGCGTGCTGTTAACTTTATTAGTTTAGTTACGCTGACAGAATGGGCGCTGCATGGCAGTTAATTCAACCCAACAGTGCTATGTAGAATGTTGGTATAAATGATGTTAGCAGTGCTATTAAAGTACTATGCCGCTTAACAGCGCTTTGTAATAGCCACATTCTGTTAGTTGTATGAATTTACTGCCTATCGCTCTGTTAAGTCTTTTAAAGTATTTCAACGTCTAACAGTCACTGTGAGCTCAATGCACTAACAGCATTCTGTTAACTTCCTCTGATTTCAACAAGCACCTAAAACTATGCAACAATATGTAAATTCGCATTGCAATCGCATTTACGCCCGCTTAAAAGGCTTACACGCTAGCAAACAAATAAAAATCTGTTGTCTGCCTTCACGCATGAAAAAGCATTCATTAACTGGCAGCCGATAGGAAAGGGGAGATTTCCTGTCACTTACGTGCGTATGCAGCCGTACATCCTTGATGGCTTTTATCATGTGCAGCCCAGTTTCGACGCTACACACCGCATGATCCGGTCGCGTCTTCCAGTTGTCGCTTTCGAATTGCGAAACGCAGTAGTAGCAATCGCCGAGCAGCTTCACGCGCAGGCAATGATTATCCTTCAGGTGGCAGAAAACAATGTGAAAGAGATATTGCAAAGGAGAAGGAAACTTACCTCCGCAATCCGATCGAAGCGAGCGAAAAGATCATTTAGAATCTTTACCAATTGCTGGGCCGAAGTCTTGCTAGCTAGCTCGGTAAAGCCCTTTTGAGGGTGATTTCATTTTTAATTACAGCAATTTATTCACAACACACCTCGCTTACCTTTATATCTGCAAACAATATGCTCACATTGTCCATGGGGTATACGTACAGCTTGTTGAACTGCGTCTCCACAGTGGGGTCCGTGCCCTTGTACATCTCGCTGCGTATTTGATTATTCACAATGTTGGGCAAAACTGCAAACCGATTGATTACACAGATTACAAATTCAACTCGCGTATTGTAGTGTATATTGAAATCGGTATTTAAGTAACTACGTTGATGCCTGATGTCGTTCAGCAACTCAAACTAACTGAGCGAGGCTCAAATCTGTGAATTCTGCTTAACTATGCAATGTTTACCTGCACGCCTGCATAGCTACCTGTGACTGAGTTTTCAGGAATTGAAATTCTCTACTGAGTGTAGCTAATGCAGATAACTTTTGAGTATGTAGACTGATAGAGACATACATATATGGATAATTATATACATATATATTTTTAGATTTTAAAATAAATTTATAATAATTTATATTGATATGAAATATATGTTGAATAAATACTAGAATTAAATATGGAATATCTCAGATTATTCAAGATTAATTGATAATATTATTATAATTCATATTAAAAAAAATATAAATATAAAAAGTTGTAATATTTCAAATATGATTCATAAATTATGAAAATTGACTTAATATATGGTATTATTATTATTTAGTTAATATTTATCAAAATTAAGAAAATGCATAAGTTATTTTATGCTTATTTATGAGTTTCATCATATATATCATATATTATATGCTTAAAAATCATTATATTTGTAAATAAATTTTTTCAATTTAGCTTAGCTAGTTCCGGCAATTATTATTATTTATTTTTTTACATTTTAATTTTTACAAATATTAAATATATACTTGCTTAAAATGCTTTATTGTATTTAAAACTAATAAATTGCTTTAAAGTGCTTGTCACTTACTTGAGTCAAGAAGCTTTTGAGTGCGCTGCAATTCCTTTTCGGACTCTTTCTTGTGCTCCATGGCCTTGTGGGTCTCGATGAAGGCCAGTCGCTGGCCCCGATCCGTCAGGTATTTGGTGTACATGCCAGCCACGTTAATCGCCGTGTACAGAATGAAATTGGCAATGATTTGGAATAGCACGCAGTTCGTGTCCAGTGGCGTCTGCGAATATTTATATTAATATGTGCGTATACACACGCATTTATATAACTCGCAAAAACAATATGGTCTAGTATGTGATTCGTACCGTCTTGTCCTGCAATTTGTTGATGGTGATTACGGCCAGGTGGCAGCTGGCTGTGATTGTGCCGCCCACGACGCACCATTTGAGCGGCAGCGGCAGCATGGCATAGGGCACAAATATGACGAACAGAATGTACCAGACCAGGTACTCCCGATTCTCGAAGCCGACGCCTTCGCTGATGAATCCTGTCGCAGAGGCAGTAAAACATTTATGACGGCCAAAGGATTAGCAAATTTAATGGCCTGCGCATGTGACGCATGATTTATGCCTTATACGAGCCATTCTCCCTCTCCCCTCTCACTCCTCACTCTGCCCACCCACGCACTCACCTTGTATATTGAAGAGCACCCACGTGCAGACCGCCGCCCAGTGCAAATAATTGTTGGCAAAGCAGCGCCAGTACCCGAGGAAGCAAATGGCCAGATTGGCAATGCCACAGCAAACAGACCAAGTAATGGACGTGGCTGTGCTCGCATAGCTCGAGCTCTGAACGGGTTCACACTTGGATTAGATACTATTTGGTCCCTGTTACGGCAGACACTTACCGTGTCTAAGCGATCCTCCCTCGGCTGCAGCATCCAGATGAGCGCCATCACAATCTTCAGCACAAAGTCCACCACGTTCACGATGATGAGCGACTTCTGCCGTTGTCTGTGCGTGTAGGTCAGGTAGCTTCTCTCCAGCGAGCTCTGCTTGAAGGAGTTGGTCAGCGAGGGGCAGAGTATGCCCTTGACCACGTTGCCGCTCTTAAAGGCCGAATAGGTTTCATTATTCAGCGGGCGTTGAGGGCCCGCCATGCTGGCAATCGATTGGCCCGACTCCAGTTCATAATCTATAAAAATTAAAGATATTTGGTCTGTTAATAAAAAGCCAACAATCATGGAAATTATATGAAGTGCTTAAAAATAAAATATGATTATCTAACTGCATCCATTTTGGCTTGACTTGAAGTCCTACAGTCGATCAATGAAACATGACTAAAAATCTGCGATGGCGTGATAATATCCTTTAAGTTTTAATGTCTTTATTTCTTACAAGCATAGTTCACTGGACTCGATTGATTTCGATCCATGTGTAACTTACGTACAGTATTATCATTTTTGAATATATACAGGATTATATAATATATAATATATATTCATTAAGTATTTTCTTCTTATACGTTTTTCCTATAAGTATTCCTTTTACGTATTTCCTTAACGTGTTTCCTTTACGTCTTTCCTTTACGTATTTTCTTTACGTATTTCCTTTATGTATTTCTACGTAGTTGAGCGATCACACACTTCACTTCACTTTATTGCACTGCAGGACTGAGCTCCACCTGGCCTGGGCGACTGAAGAAGACTGAAGAAATGCTGCAGCTGTTGCCCTTTATATAGGGCGACTTTCACTTAAAGCCTACGCCGCGCTCAATTGTTAAGTCCGTCGTCGTCAAGCAGCATTCTAGATTCGTTTTACTCAATATAAATACCACAGGAATACTGCTGCATACACATAGACAACTTAAATGATCTTCTGCTGCTAGTCTTTGTCCATTTTCTAAGGCTGACAGCCAGAGAGACAGACAAGAAGATAGATTGGAAACCGACAGAGAGACTGTTATACAATCAGACGAACATATATAGGAAAAACAGCTGGCATAGTTACACCGGATTAAATCATTACGCTGCTCAAGAATATACATATATGCATTCCAAGGCTAAATGTATTTATAATACTTGTAATTATTCTTCTCTTCTATAGTTCTCTTAAGGACTAGAACTACAGCATGGTTTGCTTTAATTTTTGGCTATTCAATCCCATACGCATTTTCGATGGAGAATGGCTAGACAACTTTCAAATAGGTCAGATCTAGCCTGAAGAATGGTAAGCTAGATCTGTGTTACCACTGATTGCAGCCTCATGAGCAAACGGATATAACCAACTGTTTATTAAGTATAAAATAACTTTAGGTGTATGAAAGTAACCCAACGAACTAATAGAGCATATTTGAACACAGAGATATGATTACATTCAGCAGCAAGAGGAGGAGCCGGTTCCGTATCAATGTGCTGGCATTCCGCTTTGTAATTGCTATGATCCAGCTCAAGTGATACCACACATTCGTATAGACCGATGGGATTTGCTTGTGCCCGCAGCCGAGGCTATAAATAACGATGCCATAAATTGTGGTATTGTCCATGAGGGGACTGCCAGTATCGCCGGGGCAGGGATTCTGATCGATGGTGGTATCCAGATGGCCGGCGCACAGCATTTCGGGCTCGTAGTTTTCCAGCAACGAGCTACAGGTCTTTTGCGTCTGTAGCATTACGTCTATGTACAGGATTTTCGCTGGCAAGAAGCCGCCCTGCAAGCAGTGGGATATGACGTGAGCTCAACCGACAACAAACACAATGAGAGACCTAGTCAGACTAACGGCATACATGCGGCCCCAGCCCAGGACCCTGTACTGTTGTCCAGGAATCGGCGGACTTGTGGGCAACTCGAGTATTCCGATGTGTGGGTTCTTTGAGGGCAGGGCAAAGCCCAGCTTCACAAGCGCGATGTTGAAAGTGTGGTAGAGGGTATAGTTGACCGGCACAAAGATCTCCCTTATCGGAATATTGATGGTGTTGCCTCTAAGCACCCTCAGTCGGTCCGGGGCTCCTGCCACGATCTGCAGGAGTCGGTTACTATGGGGTATCTTGCGTTCGCTGTTGCAACACAAACTTTCTGTAAGCCCTGATCGTTAGTCAATATGGTCAGCATATTTACGTACTCCATAACGCAGCTTGCAGCAGTCAATACGAACACTGGCGATATTATCGATCCGCCGCAGTAGTGATTGTCGCCGAAGTGTTTTACCGGCGTGCGCGACCTGAAGGACACCACGTACTTGGTCAGCTTCGTGTATATTTCAGCATTAAATTCTGGTGAGGAGAGACGCTTTGCTCGTCGCACACTCGACTGGAGGGCGGTGCAGGAGCCGGAAATTAATAGCCAAAATACAAGTAGCTTCAGCACTGGGGGAAACCACATTTTCTTCATTCTATATTTTCGGCCGATTGTCACAACTGACGTCGAGTGAAAGGGCATATATTTTCGAAAACTATTTTTAACAGCTTAAGCTTTGTCGTCGTGGACCTCAATTACACTAAATGAAGTCTAAAATTTATGGATTATCATCAGTAAATCGTCTTCTTCTTGTTTCAGAACATAATGCTACGACAGTGTTATATCAAACTATAACTTAAATGAACCTCTGCCCAATAAACCGAATGCAAAACGGCATTAGCTGCCTCACACTTTTCCTAATATTCAATTTATATATAAAATAAAATCGAAATATTAAATACTTTTTAGATAATTGTATGTACTGTCTAATACAAGTGCTTTTATATTACTTCAGATCTCAAATGCAAACGAATAGTTCAACAAACCATCATAAGAATTTGGCTAGATTGACTGTTTTTCTTCTGAATAAATATTATGAAACGAAACAATTATTAACATGAACAGAACTTATACTGTTTTTTTTTTTCAAGCCCAGGTCAGAGTCCACAACCCATTGCTCTGAATTATTTATGGCCTAGGAAACCTGGAAGGCAGAGACTGATGGAGTGTTATAGAAAGCATCTGATGAAGATGAAATGCATGTATATTTATAGTTGAGTACCCAACTCCAATTCGAACAAAGCTCTTCTGTTTCATTTGATTCAATTTTGCCTTGAATGTCTTTACCTAGCAATATCCATGTGAAAGCTCTTCACTTTCAATGCAATGCAGATGTTACACTTGATTCTTTTCACTGTCATTTGTGGTCTTATAGAGAGACTTGATAAGGACTTGACTGTCATTGGGCTTACCGAAATTACTGTTGCCGAATATGCTGCAGCTCTCGGTGCGTCGCTTGGGTCCATAGCCAGATTTGTCCTCGACGATGCGCACGGACTGCACTCGACGCGGCGTTTGCTTGGCCATGGCTCCGGCGACAGGTCGGTCAACGTTTATGCCGGCGCCGCTGCCGACGCCGACGCCGACGTTGCTGCCAACTGCGAGCATTGCCTGCTGTTTCTTGCGCAAATTGGATAAAATTGAAGCTGCGGAGGCCTGCAGCGAGTGGGGCAGATCGCCGCTGTCGTCCATCTGTGCCCCGTCGCCGGGTAGGCGTGGTATTTTGGACATGTCCAGAGTGGTTGGCGTACACGTTCCGCAGCCGGCCGCTTCCTGCTGGTTTTTTTGTTTCAGTTTAGCTTTTAATTAGCCCTAAGTGCCTCCGCACATTACGCTTACCTCTGCTGCTGCTGCTGCTGCTGCTGTTGTTGTTGTTGCTGTTGCTGCTGCTGCTGCGGTGGTTGTGGCTGTGGCTGTGGCTGACATAGTTGGGGCCGTAGCTGCCATTGTTGCCGCTGTAATCTGCTCATCATTTGTGGTCTGCGCTGCGGGATTGCTCAAGCCCTGGCCACAGTCAACGTCGTCGTAGTCGTTCACGTCATCCTCTTCGTCGTCGTCGCCGTCGCCGTCGCCGTCGTCGTCGCTCTCCAGTCTCAGATCGTCTATTTGTGCCAAGGTAATGGCCCCCTTGTCCATGGCCCGTCGCAGCACCACGCCCTGCTCCGCCTCGCTCTCCGGCTCCTGCACGCTGGGGCCACGCTGCGTCAGTTCGGGTGGCGCGGAGCGAGTCACGCTGTTGCTCTGGCGGCGCTGCTGCAGCGCCGAGGCCGGCGTTGAGCTCAGTTGGCGTAGATGCACTTCGTCCGAGACCAGTTTGTCGTCGTCGTCGTCCATGCTGCGTTCCGGCTCCTGCTTCTGTTCCCTTTCCCTTTCCCTTTCCCTTTCCCGTTCCTGTTCCTGTTCCTGTTCCTCGGCGGTTCTGCAAGAAGTAAACATTTGCCGTGGTTGGTTATTGAAAAACGAGCAAGGGAAGTAAGGGACTCGCATATTCTCAGCATCAGCATCATCATCATCATCATCATCATAATCATAATCATCATCATTATTATCGGGAGGCTTTAACTTTCAATTTACGCTTTGAAGTTGTCAACGATTTTATTCTGCTTGCGTGAGCCGACTCTGATTGCTGGGACCGAACACGTTCGCTATTCCTGGGCCTTTCAAGGCGGCGCCACATCTAATGAATGCAAACATTCCCCCTCACAGCCAACAATCAGACTCGAGGCAGGCCAGGCCAGGCACAAAATGTAAATGGTCTCCAAGCGCCAACATTGCCGCCGAGGCGTGAAGTCATTTGCCATGTCTGCCAGCTCTTGGGCCTTCAGAGGGGAGAGGACGTCATAGATTGACTGAATAGACTCTCCGTGCAAAATGGTTAATACGAGTATAAAGTTTTGCCGAAATTAGCAGCTGTTAGTTCTCCATTCATACGCCGGGACATGAGTATATCATGTCAACAATAATCTTAAAGGGAACATTTAATTGCAATTTGCCAGAATTTTATATTTAGCTTAGCAAACGTTTCTAAAGGCAACCAGCTCTAGCTACAGCTCCAGCTCAATGAAATACAAATTTAAAAGTGCCAGAAATCTGCCTGGCGGTAATCGACTTTGTAATACTCGCTCACGGCTGCAGTATGAGGGGAACTTGTCGTATATAAGAGAATTAGTTCAATTGAGCGTGTCAACTAACTGAACTAGTTCTGAACTTCTTCAAGTTCAACATGAACCATTCGATAGGAGAGTCTCACATTCTATTAAGTTATTGTACTTTCTATTGAATTTCTGTTTTATAAATTAATGAACTAACCAGTTCGAAATCCCCATTTAAATCGAAATTAAATGTTCTCAAATTTTCGCACAGGCCAACTAAAAAGATTTCTTTAGAAATTGCGTTGAAAAATTAAAACTCGTTGGTTCATAGAGGCTATCCCCACGGAGTAAGATATTTGATTCACACCACTTGTCTGAAAAGCTCCAGTAAAACAAAGTGCTAAACGGCTATTTAATGGCTTAAAGTAAGTCTTTTGAAAGTATGTATGTACACATTATGTAAGTACATATATATGCATTAACCGTAGAGACGCTTTTAACGCAGTAATTATATCCGGATTCTAATGTATATTTATTATCTATAAAAGTAGCCATTTATATATGATATATTATAAATGATATACATATATATAAGACCTATGTATATAATATAAATTCTTCTTTGCCACCTGAGAAATTGTTATGGTGCTTTTCATGGCATTGATTGTATCATGGGAGTTTTATCATGACATAGTTTACAAAGGCCTGTAATAGGTGTAAGGATACAAATCGTTTCGGTCTATTGGCCTGTATACACTCTGTATACGTATATACAAAATAAAAATGTGTATCGTATATTAATCAATACTTACCCTATACTTTATTTACATGTATAAAATACAGGGTAAAGCCTAAAGGTATGAGAAAATTGGAAAAGCCAACATATAAAGCAAGTGAGGTATTTCCGGGGGCTCAGCTCTTAAGAATTGCTGGTGACTCTTTAAATAATATTTAGGGATGATGTGCCCAACGTCTCTAGTGTGGCAGTTCACCTGCATCGTTTACTGATTTGTCTATTACTCGATCTAATATTCTATGTAATGTATTCAAGTTAAATTCACAGTGGCCCAGAGGCAGCCCCGGGCTGAGGCAGGGGAAGCGTTGACAGTGAACAACTAGAAAATGCCGCGATGATGTCGTTGTCATTATTCAAATTAGCATTTAGACACACGCGGTTGCACTCACACTTACACTGACACACGCACACTAGCACACACATTGACACAGGCGCACACACACAGGCTCATTCGTATGCGACGTGTAAGGAAATCGTAGCATACTTTTGGGCATAGCAAACACTGCCTCGAATATTGTAGACGCAACAGAAAATTCCAATAAATCGCAGCAGCCAGGACAATGTGTACGTAAGTATGTGTGTGTGTGTGTGTGTATGCAAATACTTTCTATGTAAGCCACGAAATTAAATTTGGCAAATGCTGACATAAGGCAGCTGCTACATGTAAAAAATAAAAATAATCATATTTACTTTTCGCACTTTTAAATACAATTTGGCCTCTATGCTTGCTGTGTGTGTGCGTGTGTGTGTGTGTGTGCGTGTTCGTTTGAGTTCTTTAAGCCGCAACTGGAAAAACAAGTTGCAAAAGTTGTTAAGAAGTTTATAGAAACTTTGTCAAAATATAAAAATAATTATATTGGAGCGAAACGCGATCTATTTCTGTCTCCCTTGCGCAGTTGGCTATCATATAGCGCTTTTCTAGGCGCTGCGAATGTCGCATTATTTTCTATGCTCGAGCTCGATGTTCGTGCTTGTATTGGTGTCTGGCCGCGTTATCAGTTGCCATTTGGCAAATGAGGCAGACAAATGCTGGATAAGGCAAACGACTCGCAATCGCGGCTCGATTAATGTGTAGATAACATGCGAGTGAGTCGATTGCATCAGATAAATAATATGCTATAATGATGAGTACACATATCTCAAAATTCACAATTTGTGTCAAATGGACTCCAAGTATTTGAGCCACATTCAAATGTGTGAACGTGGCAACGTGTAAATTTCTAGTTTATAATTTGAGGGTTTTAACACTTCCACAATGCGTACAATTGGCCTTTGTGGGGCGTATTGGCTTTTGGCGAGTATTGGCATTGTTGCTGCAAATGCACAATCCGCTCTCCACACACCTGATGGCTCGATTCGAGAGACGCGATCTCACATCACATGGCACACAGCCGCAGTCGCAGAGTTGTTTTTGTTTTTGTTTCTCTTTTCATAGGCGATTAGCACATTTTCTAAGTTGATTTTCATGCGTACGCGCCACGACTGAGCTTGAAAGCTGCATTGTATTTGCGGACTAAACCAGTTGGTTACCTCTATTTTGTTAATTTGTTGTTTCTTTTTGATTGCTGATTCGGGATGAGTAATCCGACAGATAAACACACCGAGCACCGAGCAGCGAGCACCGAGTACAGAACAGAACAGAAACGCGCTGTTTATCAAGCGAGCCGCGTTCGGCTCGCTCTGCAGGCAGCAGGCAGACAGCGCGCGGGGGAGAGAAACGTCTAATATAATTATCACTTATATAAATGCGTTGATAATGGCGCAACACTATTCAAAACACAAAACACAAAATCGATTCGCTGCCCTGGCATTGGCCCTGATTTACCGTTGCGGACGGAGTTAGCCCCGAGTTCAATCTGGGCAGCAGCTGTTGGCTGAGCGAATCTAGTTTTCCTTATGGAGCCGTGACTCAGACTAATTTCGGACTTGCACCACTTTATTTGACCAGCAAATATGTGTGTTTATCACAATTTGAATATTTACACATTTATTTATCCGGTATAAAGTCAGGGGAGCGCTCCGCTCTCCACTTATTTCGCGTCTTTCGCATCGAACTGGCGTTGGGCAACTGAGCGCCAAGAGCGCCATTCGACTGCCTATAAAACTGAGCATCAAATGTACATAATATAAATATATAAAAAACAATATATGTATATATGTGTGTTCGTATATTTAGTGTCAAATATGAAATATGACACTCGCATATGAAACAGCAGTTACAGTTCTCATAGAGAGCGAGAAATCTGTTGGCCGTTCGCTAAGCCAATATTTTGCTCAATTTAGCATATTTTAGTAGCCTTTCGCGTTCTCTCTAATTACATAAACAGTTGGCTGTTAACGGCTATCATCAACCTGTAGTAACTCGACTGATTGAAGAGTTGAAGCAATTGAATGCATGACATGAAAATACATAAACTTCTTCTATAGTAAATCGATCTATTAATTTGTTTACTTTACCTTAAAAATAGTTATTTTGCTTTAATACTTGGAGTCTTGTTAGTTTCTGTCATCATGCTGGGCTGGCATATATGAGAGCAATCGAGTCCCAATAATTTGCAATGACGTTAATTTTTAATTCAATTGACGAGGTGCGAATAATGTGTACAAATTCGATTGTTTAATACGTTGAGCATATAATATTTTTGAAATTTAAAACAAGTATTTTCTATATATATTTAATTAATTCGCACATCTTTCTAGTGCCATACAACATTATATAATTATATATTTGTATGAAATACGTTGATTCTTATCAATATAATTATTTATTTATTATGTATTATATGTATGTATTTTGTATATTTCATTAATTTGTTCATTTTTTCTAGTGCCACACAACATTATATTGATTTCAATCAAAATAATTATTTATGTACATATTATAATTATGTTTACTATTTATTATTATATATTATATAATGCATATATAATAAATTAATAATTAATAAATTATAAATTTATTATATTATAAATTATTATTCAGTCTTTATTTTTTTAAATTTAATAAATGATGTAGGGCATTTTTCAAAAATGTTGCCATTCATTATTATTATTTTGCGTTAATTATTACTTTTTATACCCTGAACCCATTGAAAATGGGAAATCAGGGTATAATGGTT